AAAGAAAAAGAAAAAGAAAAAAAAACCGTGGAAAAGTTCAAACAAGAGCTGACCGGCTGCAAGATTCGGGGCAAATGCTCCCCAAAGCTCCCATGAATACATCAAAAGCTGCGAGAACTCCACGCTCGTCCCGAACAAAACAGCCCTAATTGGGAATTCCCTTTCAAATATTCATCCACCGGGGTATAGTATATACAGCAGTGGTAGCAGCACAGGAGAAGGATACCGAGGGGAGAAGAATAAGAAGGCGATATACCGCACAGTGTCCCGATGGTCCGCGCACACGGATGGCAGAAATCAATTAAGCGAAGCTCAAGCACAAGGGAGCCCAAGGAGCTACACACGGAGAGAGGGAAGGGAGGGGTGGGTCGAGAACTCGGCCGGGCAAGCGATGTCCATCAGCAAACCAAGCAGAAAGGTCGACGACGTCTCGGCGGAGGAGCTCGTACCCTACGCCGCAAACTAACTATTGCAAGCTCTCCCTCTCTCGGTTGGAGGTAGCTGTCTGTCCGCGGAAACTTGTTCCTCCCACCCCCTCCTTTTCCCGAGTTCACTTTCGTGAGCCCAAAGTCGAAGGGTAATCCGATAAGACGTTGTACGCCGAGACGTGCTTTCGGGCGACGGGACCGTTGAATCGGTGGTTGGACCCGTCGCGAGAAAATTTTGTTGTTTCGAGGCAATTCCCCAAAGGATGTAGTCGAACAACCATAATTTGGTGAAATGAAAATTCAAAGTGTGCGTATGTGTGTGTACTCACTGAAGTGCGCCTTGTCGGCGCAATCGGTGGCGAATTCCATGAGGTCGGGCTTGGTGCAGCCGATGTTGAGGCCCTCGACGCTCGCGTGGTGGCAACGCACGGGAAGGGGCGTAGTCGTCGGTTCGGCGACGGCTCTCACTTCGGCGACGTTTTCGTAGGTCCCGTGGATGCGCTCGTGGACGCGCGTCGACCAGACGGACGGCTCGCCACCTGCCGGGGGCTTGTTCGTCACGAAGACGACGTTGTAACGGCCCAGGTGCGGGCACTGCCTTGTCATGGGTTCCATGGCTGTTGGCACAAATATTTTATTTAAGGCTTAATAAAAGGTCAACCGGTGTCAATTGTGCTTTTACATACAAGAGCCAAAAGTGTCCTTATACTCACACCCGTGAAGGGAAGAACTTCAAAGTTATACTTGAGGACGGTCGACGTTACGTGCACGTTTTTTCCAGAAAAATCGTAATTACAATCGAGCTACTCGTGTTGATTGTTAAAAAAACCCCCGGTATATAATACATGTACCAACTCGCTGGTCGACATATTATTTCGTTCGCCATGTAACAGCGTTATTCGACGGGGGCTTTTTGAAATTCAAGCAGCTGTAAACGTCTCGTTTAAAACAAAAGAAGATTGAGAGGGTACGGAAGTGCAGTAAGTAACTGCCAACGCCACGCGAGGGACAAAAGTATGGGAAGAAAAAAAAAACAAAAAAAAAACATTTACACAGCCATACGCGCACTAACATGCGCTGTCGCGCACTTGGGGAGAGAGAGAGGGTAATTTCATCGGCACGCGAATCACGTGTTATACCTCGTAAAAGGGAGAAAAGGTGGCGGTGGATAACCGTATGGCGCGGTAAGTACGTATGTGTATATTATACGTACAAGAGGCTAGTTATATTGCCCGATATATATCCATACCCCCGGGTATCCGTATCGGGCGCTTAATTCGATTATAAAATGCATTTTCTCTACTTCCCCAACTTACACACTTTTAGCTTTGGCCACGCGTATGCATCGATTTTACGCGTCCCTTTGCCTCCCTCCCTTACTTCCTTTATTTCTTCGGGCGCGTCGCCGATAAGCCGGTCCCGATCTATACGCGTGTAGTGTTTCCTTTTTTCTTCCTTTTGTCAACGGTAATTACGATGCCCCGCAGCCATTGCAGAACCACGAAACGGGGGAGGAAAAAAGAGGGTACTCTCGTATCAAATGCTCGTTCGTGCGAGACTTTTTTAATTGTATTAAATTAAGGAGCCGAGCTCACGAATTCCGCCTGCGGATCAGAGCTGTTTTTAATTGCAGCATACGTGCTTTCACCTGGGGGTTGGATATATATGTATATATTTTTTTTTTTCAACGGATTTACCCGTACTGTTGTATTTTTTTTTATTTTTCCCGTGATCATTTTCAAGCGATTGGTTGTATTTGCGTGATTGAGCGTTCATTACAGGTTTTTGCGATTGAATGGGAAAAAACAAACAAACTGAATTCATACGTAGCACAAGTACGTGGAAGTTTAATTTTTCGTTGCTGTTTGATCTCTCAATTTGGGAATTAATTTTTTCAACCGTGTGCAAATACATGGGCTTTATTTGCGACTTGTAAATGATAAATGTTTTAAAAGAACACAATTGAAACAAACAAAATACTCGGTAAAGTGAACATAAACGATTCCTCGTACACGTATTCAAACGAAACACTACCGATCGCGTGACGATGTTGAGGAACGAAAACTACCATGCCCTTCGTAAAAAATAAAGGAGAGCAAAAAAATTCAGCATTGCAAACACGGGTAGTAAGGCGCTGTCGCATAGATGGTTAAGACGCGGCGCGACATTCAACCTTTTTTTTTTTATTTATATGGTCATGAGCGCGTTTCTTCTCGGCGATATGATACACGTTCTTGATTCGCGATAAGGCGTCCCACCACCGCGCGTTTTTCCATTTTTACAGCGGATACGTGACGCGCTTTTTCGCTCCTCTGCCTCGACTCTGGTTTCCATATTTCTTTTTTACCCCCTTATTTTCACGAGATTCGTTTTGTTTGATTTTTTTTCCCCCTTCCCGCGTTGCTGTGGGTCGTCATAATCTCATATTGTTCTTACGCGTAGGCTCGCTTCACGCGGCTTGTTTGATGAGATTTTTTTTTTTCCCCACAAGCTTCCAGCTTGAGATCAACAAATTGTGTTTTTCGCGATAGAAAAAGTTATACGTGCAGCGGATAAATACTGATACTCGTGTCGTCACTGGGTTACATCATTCAAGCTGCGTACATTTTAGCCAAGACAATGTTCAAAGTGTGAGTAGTGAAACACTATTTTTTTTTTTCCATCGAGTAAAAATCAAAATAAGCGCCCGAGCATCTGATAAACATTTCGATCGTATCACCGGAGAAAGGCTCCACTACGAAGCGTGTGGGAGGGAAGGATTGAAAAAAAAAAAGGAAAGGGGGCGGAGGAGATTTTCCAGCTGACTGGCCGGGGTGTGGTGGTGAACGTGTTCCGCGGGAGGCACGGGAGAATCGATGCTGATTCGGCACCGGACGAGCCGGATATTGTGTCCGAGAGTTGTGATCGAAAAATTCCCGTGCGCGAGAGTCGAGGCTCATCTCGAGCGAGTCGTTACTTTTTCGAGCTCAACCGATACACGGGAAATTGGGACGCTTTTTTCACGTGCTGCTACATTTATTTCGAAATAACTGAAGTGGAGTAAGTAGAGTACAAGCAAACTCACTGATAAAGGTCGTGTAGGGCACGGAGAGGGGATCGAAGGTGCCGTGCTCGCACGCGTCGACGTCCTGTTGGGTCCACTTTTGGGACTGTTGCATCTCGATCACGTGGTCGTCCCTCTTGTGGAACACCATGCAGACGAAACCATTTGTGCTGAAAATGTAGAAAAAAATATATACACACTGTTACAACACCTTTTCTTTAACTTTAAATAGGATATCATACGTTTCTCTAGTTTACAGAAAAGACAATTCTTAGCCCACAATGATTTTTTTCTCTCTCTTTTCGAGAACTAAAATTATTATCTGCTCTGTGATATCAAGCAATTTAAAATTCAACTTGAACTACATGGTAAAAACCAACAGACGCACCGCAGCATTTTCACTGATTTGTGATGGAATTTTAAAATGATTTCAATAGACGTTTTCACGATTGTAAGCCCGTAGTCGGTATTTAAGAGCTACGTTATTCCGATGAATAAATAACGAACCGAGGGAGAGTTGTGCTGCAGGAAAAAAAAAAAAAAAAAACCATAAACAAAAAAAAAGACACTTGAGATACACAACTAACCACAATAGGGCGCAGCTCGAGGATAAAAGCTCACAGCTTCGCAGCTTGATTCTCTAAGAAGCGAGGAGAAAAAAGTGCTCTTAGAAATCTGGTAAATCTGCACAGGGGGAGGAAAAGAAGGACAATTCAAGGAGCTCCTAGGGAAGATTCTCCGCGCTTCGAAGGAATAAAGTGGATGAACGAGGAGAGAGAGAGAAAAAAAAAGAGTCGCGAGCTCCTCAAATCTACGGGGAATTAAGATTTCATTTCATCATACCTCTCTCTCACTCTCTCCCCTTTGCTCTAATCCGCGCTCAAATTTTTCTTTTTCCTCCATTTTTTTTACCCTTTGCGATTCCTTAACCACCAGAAGCGCTATCTCTTGTCCCTCTCTATCGGCGATCAACAGCGCTATGTAGGTACATGCATTCTACATCGGGGAAACAATTTTTTGCGGATTCTGCATATGCAGGCTCTGGCCACCTAACCCTCATCAATAGTTAATAGCCGATGTCTCGATTCGATTGAGTGTTGTATTCGCACGAAGGACTGCCCCCTCAAAGTTTAAATAGTAAATATTTTCAAGGGGCTTTCGATGACTATGAGAGTTTTTTTTCAATGACTTTGACGGTGCACACGTGGCCCCCGAAAATTCAAAACGTCCACTGAATATACACGAAAAATAATATCGATGGACGGGAGGGGGGGAGGAAAATGAACAACGTCATTTTTCTCGTGGAATCGCAAAACTTGGCTCTAGCGAGAGTCCCCTCGAAAGGCCGCAACCGCGGAAGCAATTACCCCACCGCGTGGATCTCGCGTGAAATCGAGCGACGGCTGAAGCGAGCGATTAATCGGCCCATCGATTCCCCGCTCGGCCCACGAGAGACGTCCCCGTACGAATGTCAATTGCGCGTTAAGGTCGCGTTTTTCTCCCGGGGCGCGCCACGCGCTCAACCGAACTGAGGGGGGGGGGGGAAGAAAAGGCCGTTCGGAGGGCCACGCGATTACTGCTGCGGTTTGCTTAATACCGGGTTATCTCCGTGCGGCTGCTGCTCGGCTAAATTGCTCGCGTGTGGGAAGCTATCGGGGAAGAAAAAAAAAAAAAAACCCAGCGGTTCGAAAAGTACTATACAATGGCCGACGGTTTAAGTGTACTTACTTGCGGTAATGGCACGGGAAAAAAGGGTGATGATACGATGCGCCTGGGTAAATGAAAAAATACGGGGATCTTATCGCGTCTGTGTGAGTGTAGTAAAATGTAGTTGATCGAGAAAGAAAATAACAGGATTTTTACCTATTTTCGAAACGATGGTCCACAGCCGAGCACAGTGAGCTCATCTCCCGTCTTTTTTTTTTCATCGAATAGCTGCAGACGATTGGACGAGGAACTTTACTTAAAAAAACCGAGTAGGAGTCATATTTTTTATCTACGCAGTGCTCGGCCCATTTTTCGGGATTTTCCATCAGTATCAAATTATTTGCCTACCCTTTTGGTGAGGGAAACTAGGTTATCGGGCGAATTGAAAATCGAAGCGTAACCATTGAATCGCGTACGTATATATACGCAAACACACAAAAGCCAAGGAATGTGTTATATATGTATAATATGTATGTATGTGGTTCGGTGATTCGGTTCACAAGTCGCGGGAGTATGCCTTCGCCAACCCGAGCGCGATGGTAATTCGAATAGTCGTCAGAAAATCGAAGGAAAGTCGTGCACGGGTATGTGATTGTGAGACCCTTTCCATAATCGGAACGTGGAAACTTGTGTGCGCGGGTACAACGCGAGTGATGTTTGTATTGGAAAGAATTTTTTTTTCCCCTCCCTCAAATATGTCGTGGGTATACCATTTTGATGATAAAAAAAGGGCAAAATTATAAAGTTGGCAAAGTTGCGTATACTGTACGTATAAAATCCAGTTACAAACTTTGTAAGCGTGGGCATGAATATGTTACACTGTGTAGAATGACAAAGTGTCGAGGGACTCGCTCCCACTATCTGTGACTACTACAACAAAGTAATCACGCGAGAGGCAGAGGAGAATTTAGATGAGATTTGATTTTTTTTTTCTACGTGTTCATGTTGACACAACAAACTATATTAACCCAACGCAATCTGCTCGTCCCTGTGTGCCAACTTGAAGAAACTTATCATCATTGAATTCAACTTGAAGAAGAGAAAGAATAAGAAGAAAAAAAAACCAGAGGGAGAGAGAGAGAGAGAGAGCGTTTCAAGCGAGTTATCCACGATCTTACGTTCGGACTTGGGGAATCAAAGTAGACTTTTAGCCCCCGGAGCGTCGAAAAATTCGTTTAAAAGAGCGAGCGAAAGTTGACGTTTGGTAAGAAAAAAAAAATAGAGAAAGAAGGAGGCGGAAAGAAAAAGAAAACGAACATGGAAAAAAGAGTCTCGGACGCGCGAGTTACTCAAAAAGTTTGTGGGGGTTGGTAAGGGGATGTATATACATCGGTACAGGACGAGCGAACTTTATTTAACCGCATTGGAAAACAGGTCCCGGAAGTTGGCAACTCCAAAATGCTGTTCCGCCGGACCTCGCACTTGTGAAATATTTTCCGTGAATACAACCGCGACGAGCTCCGGGATTTTTTTTTTCCTTGTTCGTCTCCTCCCCTCTTTTATTTTGTACGAGACTGACAGTCGTATGTCTCGAGAGCCGTGAAAATGTAGACACGTTGGAGAATGTTTTTTTTTTTTTTTTTTTTTTTTTTTTTTTGTGTTTCGGGTGCCAAATGATCGTATGTGTCTGTGTTTAGGTGTGGTGGGCATTCGAGTGATTCCAGATGTAAGGAAGGTTTGAAAAAACATTTTCAAACTGCGCTTGTCAAGCAAAAAGGACCTCTACTGGCCTTTGAAGTAAATGTCTGACCATACGTAGGGTTGTACTACTTGCGTTGAAAATTAGTCTCCATTTGCTCGGATTTTTTTTATGCTACGTTTTTTAGTGGAAAGTCTTTTTCTTAGCTCATTAATTTGTAATTTACCTTGAGGGAAAATTATAAGCACTTAGATATATAAAAAAAAAAAAACACGATTAATTGACATTGGCGAGTAGCTCGGATGCGTACAGCCGACCAAAAGAGTACCAGAAGGCCGCCTCCCTCGATATAATTAAAATAAAAAACGACTCCGCGAGAGTGCGTGCTAACGACCGTACTCTCCCGTGAGCGACAATTATAACGAGCGATATTATTAAAATTATTTCGAGCGCACTCCCGGTATATTCCCCTCGCACGTTCCGTTCTGCTGGAGCTTTTCCCTTTGGGGAACAACGGAGGGGAAATTTAAAATGAGTTTGCACACGCGAAATGTCTTGAACACGAATCGCTTGCTGCGGGGGAAAGGGAACGGAGAAGGGGTGGTTGCTTGGTATCCGCTGAATACAGTGCGAGTCACGTTCCGCACACGGAAGCTGCACTGTAATGCCCCGCCCCGAGTTATTTCAAACCACCCCCCCCCTCCCCTCCCGCTTCGTTATGGTCCTTGGTACATTTGCCCTGCTCCCTGCGTGTATGTGTTTCTTGGGCAATAACGACTTTTCGCGAAACTCGGGTATGAAAACCATTTCTCCCAAGCTATCCCTTCATTTTTTCTCCTCTCGCTCCACTTTCATTGGTTCGAATGATTTCGCGGGCTCATTAATTCGAAGAAACGTCCTTACGAGCTCGACACTTTGTATTTTTACGCGATAATCGAAACAATACTGCCACCAGAGTTTCACACAACGGCACGTGTAGATACTATTCTGAACCTTCTATATCCCGATTAGTCTTACTCGCAACCATACCGAGAAAACCAAACAAGCCAGCCTTACGATTGTTCCCCGAAAAACGAGATGAGCGACAAATCGCAAGCCCACGCGCGCTCGTGTACGCCCGGGTTCGTTCGTGATGTTGAAAAGAAAGTTATACACACACGTATATATTATATACATACCAATACTGGTTTTCTTCCTCGCGTTCTTTCTCCCGATAGAGTCTCTCAAAATGACTTTGCTCACGCGACGCGCTCACTTCTTTCCTCCCTGCCCGCGAAATCCATGTATATATGCATTCGAGGAAGCCAGCATGATTGCTCCGGCATTATTTCCCTCTATTTTTCTGCGCCCCCTTTTTTTCTTGTTTTTTTTTTTTCCTTTCCTTTTTTTTTCATGCTGTGTACAGCGCTGTCGTACATGGGAGCGAAATTCATAAACTCCCGTCACCCGGAGCCCCCCGGTTTCAATGCGAAAGAATTATTTCCATCCCCGTACGAGCATTTCAACCCAAGAAACTCTCGTTTGAGCTCGTGGCTGTATCAAATAATTATTACTGGTTACAAGGTGCACAGCAAATATTACAGGTAACTTTTTTTATCTTAATCCTTACTATTTGCTACTACCGCGAGCGCGGCAGGTGAGACAATGAAAATGAAATAAAAAATGCGTGTGGGGCGCAAGCGAAACGAAACGAAAAATGTAAAGCATCCCGCGGCGAAACAGCGGAAACCTAAGCTCCCAAAAAGCCCGCAAGAATTCCGAAATGAAAATTCATTTCCTGGGCCTTTTCTTTATTTTCCTCCCTCTGTCGTCGTCCTTCGCGCGCGTGCCGTATATTAATTAGAGAGCAGGAAGTTGCGCGCGATATTTTACTTCGGCGCTCCGAGGGGCTTACTCCGGCACTGGCAATTAGTTTTGCACAAGGCATTTCTCATATAGCCCCCACGCAACATCACGCAGGTTGTTATTTCCTGCGATTTTTGGGTGGAATTGGCGGCTTCGAGAGGACAGACCCTTTTGCTTCAACATTCTGATAATTGTTGTATCTTACGCGACTTTTGGATCGAAGAAATTACTAACAGTATTTTTTTTTCCTGACAATTTTCATCCAACAATTTTATGAGAAAATTACACTTTTTGTGCAAACTAGTTTAAATTGCGATGATGAGTCCAAAACCAGAGGTACGTTTGAACTTAATACTCAACCGTTCCATTTGCTCACTGTTCACTCGAGTAAATGAGTACACGGTACTTTGATGAAATTGCCATTCATGTACAAAGAGGAGTATAAAAAAAAAAAAAAAAAACATCAAGATAGTCATTAAAAATCATTGGTACGGAAAGACTGCAGTGCGATGTTTCGGCAAAAGGAGGACTCACTCCCTCAGTCCTCAATAACGCGATTGAAACACTTCCCAAAGTTATTTTTCCGTTTCACGCAACACTCGTCCCCTTTTTTTTTTTACAATGTTCCTTCTCTCCAGGTCTCCTTTGAACATTTCTCGCTTCGCGCTTATTCATGTTTTAATTCCATACTTCGCTTCGTTAAACGAAATTAAACACTTTTATTCCCGACGATTTTACAATTTCGCTCGTTGCAGCGATGATTGTAAAAAATTACAAGAAAAACCACAATACGAGGCAATGAATCTCGACGCATTACTTACGGGGGAGAAATTAAATTTCCGAGCGAGAGGAAAAATTTTTATGGCCGTCTTTAATTATACAGAGCACACGATAGCCGCGCCAATTAAAAACACACTTTTTCAAATATACGAGAGGTACCTACGTTTATACTCTATACCTACCTATAAAACGTGCACTCGCCCCGTTATCAGAAATCATGAAGTAGTTACGGTGTAACACTCGCAACTGAATTATCTTGTAAGACCTGGGAACCATTAAACGAGCGATTTGCATGTTAAAAAAAAAAAAAAAAAACAACAACAACTATTTTTCTGGTACGCTCTGTGCGATTAATACTCGGTACTTTGTTTTTCGAGATTTTAGCCACGATAAACATTTTCATTCGTTATAGCGTACAATAATATTCAGCACAGCAAAGTAAGGTTGAAAAAAAGGTCAGGCGCACAATACATACCGAGTTATTTATTTTCAGGGCGAGAGGGAAAAGGATAATTGTTGAAAAGAGTATACTAATCTGCAATATTTCTCTTTGGCAATACTTTTTATCACCGAATGCACTATACTCTCTGGAGAGAAAAAGAGAACAAGACCTCGTAAATATCAGTCCGATAAGGTCGTGTCTTGGAGTGTGGATGAAAAAAGCTGGAAAAGGCTCCAAGTAAAGAGCAACGAAATTCAAGCTGGAAAATCAGTGCAGGAGGAAGAGTTGGGAACTAATTTTTTTTTTATTTCGCGCGAGAGAACACTTGCAGCTCAAAAATAACCCAATCGGTGAATATTGAAATACACCGAAAACATGACAGAGGAGCTTATTCCCGATATAAAACTCGGGGCTCGAGTTTTTCCACGTCGTTCATTTCATTCGTTTTTATTCTTTCGCACCGCCGATCCCCGGGGGATCAATACAAGCTTGCGTGCGCCTAATCCATCTTCACGGGCGGATTTTTCGGAAAAAATTTTTTTTGTTACTCGCGCTCTGTTCGCCGCAAGATTATTTTAAAACCCCCTTTCGGTATAACAGCACCAGCTTTTGTGTTATTCAGGGGGTGGGGGTTGCTCTTGTAGCTTTTGTTTTCCAGCGGGTCGGGCGACAGGGCACGATTCGCTCGTTATTCGGGGGGAGGATTACAGGGGCGGCCGAACTTTTGTACCGGTTTCAACACTGCGCGCGCGTGTGTTTCCGATTCCACGTTGGATTATCAATTTTCACCCCCTTTTCTTCTCGCCCATCCATCCGTCCGTTTGTTCGCTCGTTTTTACGGCGTTATTATTACTTTTGTTTTTTCCCTCCCTCGGCTCGTCATGATTCCAAAAACGTGTTAAGCTCTGAGCGATCCTTTCATTTGGCCTCTGCACTTCGCGGGCAATTTCGCATTGGGGCTTTCAACACGAGATTACGGGGTATCTATCGTGTACTTTTGTTTTCCACAAAATGTACGGAGCATCCAGTGGAACGGATTGTTGGGGCATTTTAAAGAATTCGGGGGTCGCGAAGTAATCTTTAATTAAAAGTCACAATGCTCGCGGGAGTATGTACTTTTTACACTACCCAGAGGGTGGGGGTCGTGCTTTTAGGATTCCCCTGTTTCAATGTCAAAAAGTAAGCCAAAACATGAGAAAGAAAGAAAGATAAATCGTCTTTTTTTTCGTGGAGATGCAAAAATTTTTATCTTTCCAAGCTCGGACGCGAGCGTGCGTACAATACGGTAATTGCACCCGCTGTTTTCTGCGAACTAAAAAAAAAAGGTTTACATGCTTCGTTTTTCTCGCACGTACTCGTTTTGGAACTATACGTACGCGCGCGGGGCTACGCGTAAATCAGAATTTGCAAAATGAGTGGACACACGCGGCTTCGTTTCGGGCGTAAATCAGAGTTTCGCCCACGTGAAAAAGAAGTTGTTGTTGTTGTTGTTCCCCCACCCCCCTTTTTTTTGCGGACGGAAAATTTTTTGAGCCCGGGTTTTATCACAGCGCACTCCTTTTGCGCTGCAACATTGTAGCGCGGAGTTATTATTTTTAATTATATTTTCCTTTCGTCGTAAATTCACTGTTACGACAAGTGCATCGAAACACTTACCTCTCAGTATTTTGTTTCAAACTTAGTACATTACACGTGATTTTTGCATAAAAAGATGCGACGGTGTTAATTTTCCTAAAGTGCTTATCCATTTGTAAGGTTGACGTTTCATTGATGTCGAAAGGATAAAGGAATCAACTCACCAGCCCCTCGTAGCTCGGGCGACAATCTGAAATCGATCCAAATCCAACTGACCCTTGGTATTCCTCGCAACGGAGTGACAGGCGTAGAGCGTCTCGTGTTGATCGAGTATGGTGACATTAACAGATGAGGCGAGCAGCCGCGTCGAGGCTTTAAGATCCAGGGCGACCCACGAGTACGGCTTGACCAGCCAGCTGGGATACGTACACTTGGACGATTCAGATTCTGTTGAAAGCACAACAACAACAACAACAATAATAATAATAATAATAATAATAATAATATCACGCAAGGGTGGATTTTCGTGCCTCCCCCACCCCCCTCTTGCATAACAATGCACATCCGTAGTCCACACGCGTCACTGAGGAGGAGGCCAAGTGACACGGGGGTGTTGTTGGGGATGATTGGCAGAGAGGGAGCAGGTCCAGAAGGACTAGAGGGAGGGTACAAGGGGGGGTGCGTGATCGAGGATTATTTTATTTTTTGGTTCTTCCATTTATTTTTAGAGTAGACGTATATATAGATACGACGTGCAGCTGACAGTGAAATATTCACGATTTTATTTATTTGTCCCCATTACACCACCTGACAATGAATTATTGATTAGCATCGCGGGCTTGTCACTTACAATTTATCACCCTTGTTTTTTTTTTTTTTTTTTTTTTCCTCTTCCCCATCATTCGTATCGTTCAACGCTCGAGTGGGCCGTTGTTACACCGGCATAGTCGATAATTTTCGTATATGCGTTTAAAATGATCATCATTGACTAAAAAGTCGGAAAGTAACATGAATTCCCGTTGTTCTTGAGCAACACACGAGTGACGAAACCGCAGACTTGCACGAGCTCTGCGGTAATTACAAACCATTAGTCGGGGACATGGAATAAAACGCGACGACACCACACACGATATGAATCTTGGGGGGGGGGGGTGCGAAATCCAGTCTGTCGTTGTGTACGCTGAGCTAAGCTCCGAGGACAAACAAACCCCCCACGCGCAGAGGGAAATTAATATTAACGCGTGACGGGGCGCTAATACCTCTCTGTCTCTCTCTAGAGAGGGCCCTGGCACGCATCGCTCACGCGCGCTCCTCCTCCTTTGTTTGTCCCTTTGGACGAGGGGGTGGGGAGAGAGCTGCTCACGTTTCTCCCTAACTGTTTTTTTCCCGGGCGGGTCCGTCTCGACGAGCCGACCGGAACTTGTATTATCGAGCGATCCGTCTGGATTAATCGCATATCGCTCGCCCGGATTTCCCTCCTCGCTTCCGCGCGTAATGAATTTCGGGCCGTCCACGCGCCCTACATACAGTGCGGGCACCGGCGACGTATACGTACAAATCGGGGGTGAATCGTCGGAGCGCGTCATTCGGTGTATAGAGTGCCCCGGCGCGACGGCTGGCGCGAGAGAAATAATTATATACATAGACTGATTCATGCATGCGGGTTAATATTTGGAACAGCGAGCTTGCTAACGAGCTACGCGAGTGTCGATGGAGCGAAGAGCTTTTTTTTTTCTTTTTTTTTCTTTCGTTTTGCTGGGGCACAATTTTGGGTTCTTTCCTCCGTTTTTTTTTTTTTTTTTTTTTCTTCGGAATGGATTTTTCAATTTGCGAGGGCTGTCTTTGTTCCGACGAGCAGCGTTTGTCTTCAGTGCATGTATATACATGAAATTTTTGGTGAAAAGCTTACAATGTACACGAGTCGTGGATAGAGTGGCTTTGTAATTTTCGAAAACGTCACTACAAGGGAAAAAACTACAATTTGCTAATTTAAGTGTACAAACGAGTTGTAGGTCTTGCCAGCACAATAGCTTTTACTTTTGAACCAACAGAACGTTAAAATTGCTTACGTTTTCTTTTGTTTTGGAAATTGTGCAAAACAATCATGAAAAATCGTTTCTCAAAGGCATGTGTGTATCTTTTTCTTGTTGCCATCATTCAAGTTTGTAAAAGGAAGGAAAAAATTAATTAGTACACGCACGTTGATTGAGAGTAAATAAATATCTGCTTAATCAAAAGATAATTAAATATTTGTCATATGTTATTCGTAGAAAATCAATAAAATAATCACCATCAATCGGTATACACCGTTTAAGCCACTAAAATATTTTTTTTAAGATAATGAGGCAATATTATTATACTTTAAAATATTCTTTTTTATAAATGTAATTTTTTGCTAAATGTATGATACACTATTTATGCTCGAAACAATATTTCAATTACTACTTTTATATCACAGAGTTGGACACCATTTTTTAAATCAAAATCATTGCATAATTGTAAGGAACAAGAAATGTAAAAGAGTTTAAGTATTCGAAAAGTATTTGAACATTTCATTTTGAACACTTTACAATTTGTTGTAATATCTAAAATGTATTGCACTTATTCACGAGACAATAATTTTTTTATTGTAAATAGTTTATTGTAAAATAGAGACGGATGAAAAGTTTTTTCAGCCAAAATAATTGATTTAGGAAAAAAAATGTTCTTTGCAAGTACTGAAAAATCCATGAAAACATTATGCCTATAAGTACGCAAGTCTGTTGTAATCAGAGAGTAACGAAAATTCTGATTTGATTAGACTGACATACGTAGTTAAAAATTGTTCTCCAAGCTAACAAAATACGTCCCAAGAAAACTCGACGGACCGCAAAGAAGAGACGGACGAATCGTAGAAAAAAAAAAAAAAAATTGGAAGCCTAATGACGACGAGACGTCGCCCACCCCCGAAGATGTACCAAACGTACAGCAGAGTACGGAAAAAGCGTGGAGCAGGTGAAGCTGATAAAAAAAGGTGCGGGAGGAGAGCCGCCCCGCTGTTGCAGCCCAGGGAAGTTTTTAAGCTGCTTAGGGGCCCGAGTCAAATTTATCGCGCGATGGGGCACGGCTGCCCATCGTGATCTGAAATATGAACATGCTGTAGCCCGTCCGACGCCGGCCGCGTTGGCTTTTTGTGAAATATGAAATTTTTCCACCCCCCCCCCTCCCTATGGGGGGGCTCGTTTATTCTCCCAGGATTCGCTGCGCCCCGGGTACAAGTGTAGGCGCACCCCGCCCCCCCGTAGTCCACGCGCGCAAGAGGATATTTAAAGTTTTTGCCCGCTCCGTCTTGCCACTCTGATAAGCCCCTCTAATTTACGGCCTTGGAGATTTGATTCGCAACAGCCGTGCTTCCCAAGGATTCTTAAAACCCTCGACACCCCGACTCCAACTGGAGGTCGGGTCGTTGCAAAAAATATCAAGCACATTACAATATATAGCGGATACGTGTCGGTAAAGCTCACTCTGAGTCATGTTGAGGGTCTTGGAGCCCTCGGTGGGACTGAGGAGGCCGCTGCAGCTCGCGTCCCCGCTTTGGGCCAGGTTCCACGTGTTGCCCGACTTTGCGTAGGCGAAGCACCGGTATCTACCCTCGTCGTTCACTATTCCGGTCCCGTTGAGCCTCGCCACCAAGTACTGCGTGCTGCCCTCCTTCCACGTGGCCAGGCACTCCATCTCGACGTCTGAAGGATTTTTTCATCAGCGATGCTTTGCGGGACGAACAAAAAAAAAAAAAAAAAAAAAAAAAAAAAAAGAAGAATAAAATAGCCGATGCTTACTGTAGCTCTCGGTGCCTGGTACGTCGGCACAGGCCATGTAGCGCAGAAACAGCTTGGAGTCCTGGGTGCAGGCGTCGGCCTGGGACAGCGGGGCCGTGCACGCCTTGTGGTCGTCGCTGCGCATGTAGAGGAACTCGAGGGGCCCGGGGAAGGGGCAGGGGGTGGGCGACGCGTTGTACCGAAAGAGGGAGAGCAGGGCCGCGTCGCCGTCGAGCTGATTGCACAGGTCCGCGGAGTCGTCGCTTCTGCATATTGCTGTTTGGGGGTAAAGAAAAAAACCACCAAGTTGTCAAGCGATGTCTCGCATTTTGAACAAAGCGTAGGTATGTATACTATCACTCACTCTCTTTGTACTGGATGACGTTGGGGTGCCTCTCGTACATCACTACGCACCGATTGCACCTTCCATTCCTGAAATCAAACAAGTGCGAATAATTATCATTACATGCATTTTCCGTCAATCGGTGCGAAATTTACTTGTGGCGGGTCATCTGTTGTTGAAAAATCGTTTAAATGACTTTCCACGATTTTCATCAATTTTATAACCCCACACGTGTATACGAACTGCAGTTCTCTGACCCCGCGACCATTCGCATTAATTCCGTCCCATCAAGCAACTCTGGGGCGGAAGGCTCCGCGTTTCAACCCGAATCACCGTTTTCGCGACCGTTCGAGCAGCAAGTAATCGCCCACGTCAAGTCGAGTGTTCGCGTTTTAACGAGACCCGAGACGACAGAGTCCTTATTTGTTTTTCATTTTTTACTTATTTCTTTTTTTTTTTTTTTTTTTTTTTTTTTTTTTTTTTTTTTTTCTTCCTTCATCTTCGCTCTTCCAATGATTTTCTAACGCTCCCGAGTCCAACCAACCGCGCGATTTTACGCTCCGCTGGATGGGTTTTTTGCTTCCTTATTCGGCGAAAATGTTGGATTTTTGTCTCGTCGCGTGAAGAAATTAAATCATGTTTGGTGAACGACTGAACTCTGCAACTAGTCGACCGGTGGATTGCAATGTATAATGAAAAAAAAATAAATAAAAAAAGAAGCAAAAGTATTTTTATTAGTATATACGAAACACCGCGAAATCACAGCAGACGCTGGATAATTTATCGCCCACGAGTACCAAAATAATCCCGAGTACCTCTTTTGCCGCACACACAGCCAAATCCGATCACTAATGTACATTTGGAAGCCAATTTCAAATATATAGAGACGATGGGCGTGCGAGTACCGCCGTCGCGTACATTATTAATCCCCATCGAAATTCCCGGGCTAAAACATACTTGTGTATTATATGTGTATTATACACGTACCCGTAGCTTCCTTTAATGCATATCAATCGTTACACTCTCGTACCTACATGTATACATATACACACACGCCAGCCTGTCTCTGCGCCGAGTGATTCATTATTTTCAGCGCCAAAGCCGCGAAATTATTACTCGTCCCGTGGGGAGAGAGGCGGTGCACTCACTCCGAACGATTCGGTCGATCGGATGTGCTGTTCGTTCGATAAATTTAATTCACAGCGAAAACAAAGAACTTTGCCCTGCAGTTGCTTCGTCGCGTGTGGAGTGTGGATTAATGGGCGAGGCATACGAATTGGTGAAAACAGCCTCTCTCGACTCATCTTCAAGGTACAAAGTACCGCGGAGATGACGTTTGTGAAAAAAAAAAAAAAAAAAAAAAAAAGAAAAAAAAAAAAAAAAAAAATTCCAAAACGTTGTACTAGTACGCACGTGTACGAGGTGTGTAGGTGTCGGCGTATCTTGACGTTTCACGAGTCAGCGGCTCGGAAAAAGCGATTTGAGTGGCGGGCGCGTGCGTATCTGTACACCTGCGTGGATTTCTTTTGTACGCGCGTCTACGGAGACAAAAAGACTTTGCATCGCTGAATTTTTATATTCGACATGTACATGCATATACGCGTGTACACAAATCTATACCGAACAATAGATTTTGCACTTTTACCGCATTGCATATACCATGTGTGGGCGCGGAAATAGAATTTTTCGTAACGCGTACCACCTATAGACTGTGAAATTCAAGTGGGTCGGAGCGTAAAGTTGTAATTCAATTGTTATTATCAATCACTTTTTATTCATTTATCTATATAGACCAGGTGAGTAACCATTGTGGGCTTGTTTCGTTATTTTTCCTTCAGAGTTTTTGTCAAACCAGTGCACAAGCACCCCAAGATATTGATTTCTGACTAGATTTTGAGAGTACTTCTGTTACCATTTCACACGGATGATGTACAGTAAAACGTTTATTTTTAATGCGGGAAAATAAAAGGAAACTGTAATTAATCGCCAATCAAATGTTTTACATCGATGGTCGTCCTCGCGAGAGTTGATCATAAATCACCGATTTGGTTGCCAATGAAATATTTGTTATCGTGAGCGCGTCGAAAAACGTATAATTGATAAAAAAAAAACAAGAAAAAAGAAAAAAAAAGCGCACCCATAGCTGTCTCCTCTGCATTACCAAACAAAAGTCGTCACGCCTGGGGGAGGGCTGTCGTAACGTCATTCGCTTGCTAAGAACGCTGCGAGAACGGGACGCAAAACCGTCCGACTACGTAACTTTTTAATCGAATGAGCCGAGCTGTCGCGGAGCTGAGGAGTATAACTTGGGCTCGTGCGCCCAAGACACTGGAGGGGGGGGGGGTGGTATGGAGTTAAGTGCGCGCCGCGACAGTTTTGTAATGATTGCTGATTGAATTTGCTGGCGGTGAAATTTTCGTCGGCTCCCCTCTTGGCTGGGGGTTCTTTCGTTGCGTTCCGACGGTGACTGTCGTATATACTTTAATTGTCGTTGCGTTAAAATTCATGCCCAAGCGCCATTACGGGGCATAAAGAAAGCTCGACTGAATGTTTTCACGTTTAATTTGAAATTCGATCAACGTGACACTCAACGCGAACGAATTCTGTTTAATTAAATCTTATTTGATGAATGGCCACGGCTCGAAATTTACAGGTGATTTAAACATAGAAATCATTATGTTTTATGGAAATTTACGTTGTTTTTGTAAGCGACAGGTCAGGTGTAAACTACAAAGAATTTGTTTTATTTTTAGGGTATTTTATCTGTACAGCTACTAAATATTGTTCATGGGTTTATGAATTAAACGGCACAAAATACAAAACCTTAAATCGAAAGGGAATGAACGCTGTTTTTAAATAAAACCCATGATCAGCCTTGAGCACGAATACTTTTTTAATTTTCAAAAAATTTGATGTTTCGCTAAAACTGTTATGCATTATCTATGCTAACGTTATGTATAAGTGATGAATACAAATTTTTGTTAGCAAAGTAAATGCACTTTATTGAGGAAAAAAATAATGCCCAAGTATGATATTAGACACGTTTTCACCTAGTTTTTTTTTTTTTTTTTTAATTCAGTAGTCTCTTCTCTCATTAGGAATCTCTTTGGGTCCTCAACTAACTGCCAACATCTATTCTACTTTTTCAGTTTCACGAACGAATAAGTACACCTAATAAAGGCCAGTCATTCGTTAGTTTCCATTAGATTAATTAAACTCCAGCTCTGCATCTCAATCTCCTTCAGCATCTTTTGTACCGTTTCGTTGTAAACTCTACGCGTGGGGAAAAAAACGATACCACTCATTGGCAACCAACAAAGGTACGTAGAAGCCACCTCACGAGACTCGAATGAAGAAAAAAAAAAGAGATTCTCCCGAAAGCTTATCTCTAGCCGGTTCGGAAAAAAGGAGAGTATGAAATCGCACGATTTCCGCGTTTCCATGCAGCTGCGCCACATATTCCACCCTCTCCCCCTCTGGCTCCCTTAACTTTTCTTTCCGCTCTCAATCAGAGCTTCTCCCGTACGTGCATGTATATATATTTTTTGCGCCGCGCCGCGTAAACTTTCCCGGCCCTTTCTTTCTCTCTTATTATACACTTTATCCGACTGTGAATATTTCTCATCCACCGGAAGCTCGTTTATGACCCTTTCCCCGTTTATTTTCCCTTTTTTCTTCTTCTTCCCTACCCTGCAGGTATTTTCTTTTTTTTTTTTTCCTTGAGAGAGAGAGAGTGTCTCCCGCCGTCATTGCCACGATGAAATGTCGCCCGCTGTAACGCGCCCCCCCCCCCCGGAGTACGGTGTCGTTTGTCTTTTCGTAATTTTTAACGATCATACTTGTACTTTCACCCCTCCCCCCTACCCTCTCCCGCTTTATGGTTAGAAAGTTGCTGTTGCGGCTGCCTTAACACATAAGGGGGTCTCGTAAAGAAAGTGAGGACTATTGTGAAGCTTTTTTTTTTTTTTTTTACCTCGCTTATCCAGGTAAGACACAATTAGGGTGCACTATAATAAGACGAGGCGTGAAGAAAAAAAGGGTGTAAAAAAAACGTAAGCTGAGCGTGGGTTGCATCTCACTTGTCGTAAATGATGAACATGTCGTTGTTCTTCTTGACGCATTCGCCCTTGTGCGAGAGGCGCGTGCCGTTGATCGCGATCAGGGTGTTCTCGCCCGATTGGAACCAGTTTCCCCTCCATTGAGCCGGAAACTCGCAGCCCAAGTCTGAAACAGAGGAAAAAAGAACATAACGAATGATCATCGCCACTTGTACCAAAGCGACAAAAATTTTACGCTCTCCCTTGAAATCGTATATGATTAATTTCCTTTGGGATGAGCTGTACTTTGCGTGCACTGCACACCAACTTTTCGGTAAACACATTTGGTCCTTAATTACCTTCGAGCGCGACCATTTCTGTCGACTCCCTATATTTTTTTTTTTTTTTTTTTTACTCCCCCGCTTAGCTGACGAAAAATTTTTCGTTTGAAAAATGCTCGCAACTTTAACGAGCGGAGGCTCGCTCACTCGGGGGGTAACCAGCAGGTAGGGATGGCTTTTTAAATGAAAAAGTAAAATCGGCCGCAATTAATAAGCGATCCTTTAACGAGCGCCGCCCGCTTGGGTTCTTGAACTTGAGGGGAGGCATGAAGGAAAAAACAAAAGAAAAAAAAAAAAGGAAGAAAGAGCGGGAAAGCAGAGTACAAAAAAGGTAGGAGGGAAAAGACAGGGGAGCCCGGAGCGAAAGAAACCGGAGAACTTTGTTCTTATGGCTTTAGCCAAGTTTACAGAGAAAGAAGAAAAAAAAAAAAAAAAAAGTGAGAGCAGGAGAAGAAGAGGGTAAGGGTAAGAGGAGGAGTTCGTCTTTACCACTCACAGTAGAGCTGGTGGTGCGACTTGGCTTCGGTATCGACGAACGGACGGAGAAAAGGTTGCCGAGACTTTTGCAGTCTTTTGACAAAAATAAATGTTATTTTTTTTGCCCGAGCAAGCCAACCACTGCTCTTTTTGGTTCTCTCCTCGAGGGGTGATTGATAGATTCAGAAATGAAGAAAGTTTTTCCGACTTCTTACTGCAGCTCAACAGCTTGGATAGTGATTTTTTTCTTTCTTTCTTCATATACTTTTGAGGTGTGCATAAGCGAGTAATGTTTGCGATGATGTATCGTTCAGCAGCGTGAAAACTAATCGGAAACAATTGTAGCTGTAGCACAATCATGATAATAATAATATTTGAAATGCAAAAATTTTATTGTCAAAAAAATGTAAAAGTGTTTGGAATACTTTTTTAGTAAAGAAAAACCTGCTGGACAGTACTGTGGATCCTCATAACATCCTCATGGTGTATTCGATGTAAAAACGAGGTGAACTAGGGTTGTATTGAAAATTTTTTTTTTTTTTTTGTAAAATCTAAAATATAAAATTATCAATTTGAAATTTTTTTACGACCACGTGGTTAGTGCCTGATCCAAAAAAGTGTTAGTCAAAGGGCCATGCACCTAAAGATAAAACTTGAGGTTTATTAAAAAAGTTGCAGCTTTTTTTTCACTTTGAGGTTGTTAGGGGAGAATTTCTGATACAAAATCTAAAAAATACAAAACCCCAAGTCATAGTATCTCAAAAAAAATCATTGCTTTGGATTAGTTCATGAAAAAATCTAATGGTAAGCCATTTAAAAAAGTTATACATATCTTTTCCAAAAGTTCTCAAATAGTCAGAAATAGAAATTTCGATGTGTGGTTATTTCTCTCGAACAACGTGCTCAACAAATCCGACAAGATTTCCAATCTTTCCTTGTGCGTAGGTACATATGTATATATGTATTTCTAGGTAAATTTCCCCCGCGTGGCATTGATCCCAAAACTCGTTCAATTTTCCGTATGGAAAAATAAAACCAAACAAACAAGAACACCGAAATCCATCCAAAAAAGGTACACATACAACGTGCGGGCCCCGAAATCATTTGGTTAAACCACGCGTGTGCGTGCGTAGGTATATTCGTATTCGATAGGAAAAACGCGGAGCAAACAGTCCGTAGGATCGTCAATGCCGCGAAGCAGAAAAATCGCAGAGGAAACGAAAGAATAACGCCGAGGAGAGAAAAAGAGAGAGCCATTCGTTTCTCGTCGCAGCAAGTGCCGAACGCGAGGATCAACCCGTGCGATTGGCAGCCGCACGAACGCCCCCGTACAAGTGCGCGAACAGCGTTTTCCTCTTTCCTTCCTCTCACCCTCTATATCCCTCGTTCACCCCCACCCCTCCATTCCTACACCCTTCCCTTCCAGCCACCTATTGTTCTCCATATCCTTCTGATCCTCTTTTTTTACCATCCCTCGTTTCCTCGTTCGATACAAGCCTACATATATACACATACGTGTTTAAGCTTGTTTTTTTTTTGTTTTTTTTTTTTTTCTTCATTCCCCTATTTTACAACTGCGTCAATTATTATTTTTCAACAATGCACCCAATTTCAATTTTCCTTCTCAACGTTGATGCACGAATCACGCACGCACGCAAAAATGTATATTGTATTTGAAAAAAAAAAAAAAAAAAAAAATGTTTCCTCCCCTTTTGGTATAATCTCCTGCCGTATCCTTTCTGGACTTTGTTTTACGCTCTTCGATCAGCATCCTCTTTTTATCCGTATTGAAAAGAAAAAGAAAAAAGAAATATTTTCTCCACCCGCTCCCTCTCTCTACTTCCCTCTTATCATGCAAAACAGCTCGTCCTCTCTGTTTATCCGAGAGCGGCCTTCTCCGTTCCTCTCTTATACCTCCATCATCCCGAGCTCCATCTCTCTCTTGCTCTCCGCCAGAATCCCCCGGATAAATCCTTCGCCATCGCAACGTGACGTTATCATGTAGTATAGCCCGCGTTTCACCGAGAATGAATGGACGCGCGCCCGTTGGACAGGCGCGCCAGCCACCGCGGCTGCAGGGGGTAAAGGGAGAAATGAAGGAGGAAAGAAACTGGCTGGAGAACCGAAATGCATCGGGGACTGTCTCTATGGGACGCGGGGGGGATGGAAGAAAAAGATGTTTCACCGAACTATATGCCATGTGAGAACATTTTTTCGTTTATTTTTCCCGTCCTTGCCGCTTACTGTTTTGTGCCATTCCGGTGGCCGACGCTCACGTATCAGCTAGGTAATCACTACGATTTCCAGTTTTTTGACGCCAGCACTTTTTGTCCAGCAAAATGAAGGGTGGGAACGCGTTTGGTTATCGTTTGCGCGATAGTACGGCAAAAGTCGCCGATTCGCTACGTACTCGTATGTACTCGAACGAATTATGGAAACGAGAGAGAGGAGGAAAAGGAAGAGCGAAAATTACGAATCGAAAGTTTCGAGCAACCTGTTGCTCGGTCCTCGCAATCGTCATTGAAAAAATCGCCAGCCCAACCCACTTTATGTGAACTGTTGGTCGCAAAAAGAAAGTTTTGCAGTTTGACGCTCGTTTAGTTTTCAACGTGGCAACCATATTATTTTTTCTTCAACGGTACACGAGCGCTAACTTTTTAACGATCCCTTTTGTTTTTTTTGCTCTCCTCTCCCCAAAAACCGGTTAACTTTTAATTTGACTATACGTAAAACGCTCCTCTAAAAGTCTTATTGTACAGGGCCGTTAAAATATGACTATTTCCTTCTTTTACTAGCATTAGTAGGTACTTGCATTTTTCGAAACTGCAATTGGTCATCGGAATAAATAAAATAACCCTTTCTATCGAAACGACAGCAATAATTAAATGATATGGACACGTTTGCACGAAGCACCTGCACCTCCACAAGCTGTCCTCTGTCTCTTTCTTTCCCTCATTCATCAAATGTGGGGGGGGGGATGAGGAAGCTACTACCCACCGACGAACCCACTGGCGTATATACCGAGTAAAGTTAATTGATCGATCCTGCCCCCGCTATACCGTGGGATGGGATATGTGTATATATATATATTATAGAGAGGTTGCGAATGAAGTTTAGAGCTCAGCGCCAGCTCGGCTGATATCACTCGACGTTTTTCACAATGTCGCTGCGCCGGATACATATCGCTCCTGTTCTCCTACACCCTCGCTTCGTACATGTATATATATGTACGCGCGCCCATCGCGACGTATACTGCACCGGACGTTGATAGATCCGAGGACGCTTTTGATATGTGCGCGCTGTCGAAGAGATTGGGTGGAGGGAGTCGGCAGCAGTCATCGGGAATCTCGAATTTCCACGCTCGCGCGTGCATTGGCATCATCCATGGAGATCCCCCCTCCCCCCCCTCTCTCTCTCTCTTTCTCTGTGTGTTATGATATTTTGGTAGCAAAAATATACGGCCCTCCGGCTCTGGCTAACGTTGCAATATTTACTTCGAAGGAGTGACAAGCTCTGGAGTGCACTCGTGAATTTTACAGGTACTCGATAACAGTTTCGATTAGCGCGCAGGGCTTTTTTTTTTTTTTTTTTTTTTTTTTTTGATACGCGAGTTTTCCCTTTTTTTCACCCTCTCTTGCTCTTTCGTTCGTTGCAAGTGAAAATGGGGTTACAGAAAAGTCCGGTATATCCACGTGCATGGGTATACTTTACGAGAGAGAAGGGAGAGGTCGGAGCTGTGGGTGAAAAAAAAGGTACGCGTGAAGTTGAATACGAGGATTGGTGCTTGTTACCTTTTTTTCTTCTTTTTCTTTTCTTTTTAAAGGTTTAAGCGCGTTAAATATGTACATTTTTGGTGTTGATTGAAAATTGATCCTAAAAACTTGTCACGAAAAAGCATTACAGTAGTTATTACCATTAACCTGCAAAAATCAAATTTTTATATTTATTTATTAAATGCTCTAGCACATTATTTTAATAATTTTCGTACATACTTATTACGATTACGGCAATCATTTGTTCATATTGCGTTGTGAAAATTAATTTCTACAAGTATAACCAATTCATGGATTATTTTATTCGTCTTTCCACGTGCTCATTGAAATTTCGATGTCAATATCTCAACATAAATTATTAAGAGTCCTTTATTAAATGTACATTGATGCAAAACCAATTTAATCGAGTGTAAGTCAATCGTACATTATTTTTAAAATTTCCGTCATCATAGTAATAATAATTATTATTATTATTTATTGAAAATCGTTCACTAAATAATGTTGAATATTCACTTGCAAAAATAAAAATACACATTAAATGATGGTTTTCTTAGTAAGTGAACTTTGCAAAAGTAAAATTTCATTACGATTTCCAC